GGGGGGACCAGCAGAATCGAAGGTAAACGATTTTCTTCGGTTCAGTGGTCCAAGGAAGAAGAAGGGGATATATTTTATTGAAGTTGTTCGCAGTATTATACTGTGTTTTACTTAAAACGCAGTATAATACTGCGAACAACTTTAATAAAATATAGCTGAGCCCAACATCTTAGTAAAACGCAGTATTATACTGCGGTTTACTCATTTATGTAACTTTTTTTTAAAGTAGTACAGAAGTGTTTTTTGTCCAAAAAATGATTAAAAAAGTTTCGACTCACCCCAAATATGCCATCATTTTTCTCTTTCTTTTTTTGTTTGGCATTTTTAGCTTCAAATTTACTCAAACTTGAAATTTTAGTCCTCGTACAAAAGTGACAAAGACGTATCAGCATTAACTTAGTTGAAAAAATTGGGGCGAAGTGCACATGTAGCCATTTTTAAGCCCACTATTTAATATATATTCAAAATTTACGGTGTATTTAAAAATTAGTCAATTCATCCATATTTCAGGACTAAATATGTAACACCCAGATTTTAGACAGAGTCTTACATCGACAAAATACAAGACGAATGCTGAGTATATAAATTAACAAGTCTTAGACCCTAGTAACGCGTTTTAAACCTAGGTCCAGAACGGTCAATCGAACCGAGCTGTTGCAAATGGTATTAGATCCACTCTTATGTTAGTCTTGCCAATGGTGGGTCAGATTAACCAGGGGCAGATCAACATATAAAAATGGGGTGCTCGAGCACCCATTAACCTCGACCCCGAACACATATAATTATATAGAGAATTTAATAAAAGGGATATAATAAAATAGCAAGCACCTAGATAACAAAAGGCTTGGTGGGTGCTTTGGTTATGATGGGTGTTGAAGGGCTCTAAAAGTCTATGGTCGAGAGACCGAATCTCACGCTCCTAGCTAGACTTTTTCCTCCATTTATCAAGCACTAACTTTCTTTTGCTCCAATTATTAGGTCTCTATTTTGCTCTTTAAGTTTTCTCTTGCGATTTTTGTTTATCAAATACTACTACTTTTATTCTTTTGGTTCTAACTTTGTTTTACCTTTTTTTTTTTTTTAACTTTCTTTTGTTACTTTATCTAATTCACCATTGCAAAGAAAGAAAAGAATATGTGCTTTTAAAAACCAAGGATTCCTCCAGAACCGTAAATTGTATTACTCATCACATATTTGGGGCATCGTTCATATAGGTACTATAGTTTTCTCATTAATTTTTTTATCTCCATATTTAAATAGTTGCATACTTATACGATGTATTAGTAGTAATTTTACGTCAAAAAAAGTTAAGCACCCATGAACTGAAAATCTTGTATCCGCCACTAAGATTAACAAGCCTTAGACCCTAGTGATGCGTTTTAAACCCGTGAGGGCCTAGGCCCAGAGCGGACAATATCACTAGCGGACTGGGTTATTACAAAGTATCCTGGATTTGTGAGCTGCTAATTTGAAATTCAGGACTAAGTGTTCTGAATTTCTTAATTGCTAATTTAAAATTCATGACACAAGATTCAAATTTCTGGATAAAATTTTCAAACTTTAGAATATGATGTCCTAAAATTTGAGCGAACTGCCTAATTTTCAAATAGTATAAATTATAAATATATTTTAAACAAGATGCTTAAAAGTGGTGGCCTAGTATCATTTCCACAAAATATTGTAATAGCGAAGACTGAAGATGAAACGTATTGTAGGTCCTGAGCCCAAACGTTTTTATTTCTGGGCTTCTGTTGATGAGCAACAGTCTGCCTAATTAATTCAGGATCTAACCTGGACTAAACGACCCATCGAGTTTATAGACAAAGTCATTCAAGTATAAAGAAATTTGTGAATTGCAAATTTCCTTATACCAGATTTTAGGGTTTTACACACACATGAGAAAGGATGTTGAATTAAGGAACAAGTAGTAATAGTAGAAATTTTAAAAATAATAATAATGATAAAAACACAAGGTTTGTAGACGGTATAAAAAAAAATTATGCAATGAATAACTCATAAATAAATTTCAAATGAATATTTATGACAAATATACTCGATAAAAGTAGACAGATCACATAGAAATGACAAAAATTATAGTACTCATTTAAATACTAATGATAGTAGTAATAGACAGAGGAGACTGTAGTAGAGTGGTGTTTGCATAAAATTTAGAGAATCGAGGCCCATTGAAAGAAAACCAACCCCTCTTTTTTTGCTTTAGAGATACACAAAAAATCTTGCAAGATACCTGTGCAACCAAACGATGTCGTTTGACTAACACATGAACCAAACGATGATCAATTGGCAATCCAGAACTGTTTAATCTCTGCTAATTATCTAAGATTTTTGTATTCGAACAAAAAAAAAAAGGAGGAAAGGGGAGGGGAAGATGGTGCTACAATAGTGCTAAGATATACAAAATGTGCATAATCACCAATCTTGATTCTGCAAAATCTACAGAAGCTAGCTAACTTAAAAATTTCATGTATATAGACAGTTTGAAGAAACTTATTTTCTCCATACACACACAAAAAAAAGGATCTATTCTTGTGCTAGCTGTGTCAAGGATTAAACATAAAGTTGCCACATTTACATTTCCAACACATAGGCTTGTAATTGGAGATATCATCACCTCTTGAATATGCTAAGAATTTAGGGAATGCATTGAATTGATGGCTTCTTAATTGCTGGTGTTTGAGGTTTGGCACAATTGGGACTTGAACTGCTTCACATGGTCCACAGTTTCTACATCTTCCTTCGCATCTTGGTGGCCTTGAACCTATTAAAGATCTCACCTTTAACATCTTCTCTTCATCTTTCCTCTGTTTTTTTTAACAAATATGCACAATAATTTCTCATTAATATTCCTATTGAACTTTAAAAAGATGAGGCATTTTGGATCAAGAACTCACCTGAGTAATTCCAGTTTGCAGCTTGAGAATTCTCCTACCTGCAAAATGGTTAAAGTTTGAAAATTCTTATTTAGGACCCTCTCTTTCTTAATGAAATCGTGACTAACACAAAGCAAAAGATCGAATCTTTTATAGTTTTGAAGTAAAACTGGGAATGACCCTCTTACCTTCAGCCATGAATTTAACATGTGTCAAGCTTGAAATGAACAGAAGTAGTAAAAAGATGATTGTCTGTAGATTTCTATGGCAAAAGACACAAAGCTGAGTACATGCCATTGGACTTTCTTCTTCAGAAAGTGTAAAAAAGCAAAGAAGTTTGGTATCTTAAGACCAGAAAGTGAGAATAATTGAGAAAAGCTGCTCAAAGAATGAATGAAAACTCAATCCCATAATGTTTAAGAAGAGAAGAGAAAACACATTCTTTTTAGTAGTACACTGATAGAAGTATGGAACATGGTATAAAAAAAGAAGTAGAGGAGAATCCCTGAAAAGGGAATGACCTAAAACCTCGTATTATGAGCCCTTCAGAAATTCCAAGAACTGTTTTGTTGGCAGAGAAATTAAGACTGAAGAAGTTGTACAAAAAAATGGAGGAGGAGGAAGGGTAGAAACAATAATAATAATAATAATAATACAGTTAATAGAACAAATATGAATTTGAGCAGTCATAAAAAATAAGAGGAGGGGCAGGTGATAAGAAGAGCTTTTTCCACAAAGGGACAAGTAAATTCACTGGTATAGCATATGGTCTTTCATTCTCACTCACTTTGTCCCCCTCTCATTTGGTAAATTCACCCCCACATCCCCCTCTCTTGTTACTGTTTTGGTTTGTTTGGTTTTTCAGCAATTCAACTATAACACGTTATATCACTCTATGATCTGTCTTTATTTTTATTTTTTTACTGTTTCTTGAAATAGTGTAGTAGTATTTAATTTCCGAGAAAAGGATTTTAGGGAAGTAGGTTTGTATAGGGTGTTATTTAGGCAATGGTGGAATCTGCACGAGCCCTGAATATGATGAGAAAGGTTACCTCCAAATCCACGCAAAAACTGTTGTATGATGCTACGATTCTCAACTTTATTTCGTACCATACTTGGTCATATCACACGCTCAATCACATTTTGACAAGTCACACTCTTCAAAGTTTTAACTAAAAGATTTGGAATTTTTTCATTTCGTGGACAAATACTTTCTTATAGGAAGAGGTACAAGAATGATAACAATAGTTATTTTCTATATTTTTTTATGAGCTCAAAATAATTTTTCTAGATAAAATTCATCTCTTACTCTTGAAAGAGATTGACCGTCTTGCTTCTTTCACTTAATAATGTTCCTCTCGCAAGACTTTTTTTCTCTGATCATCAGTAATTTGCGTAGTTAGCTATTGAACTTTTAGTTCTTTGCATCTTTTTGAGCCGATGATCTTTTAGAAACAGTCTCTCTAACTCTAGGGTAGAAGTAAGATTTGCGTATACACTACCATATTCAGACTCCACTTGTGAGATCATACTGAGTTGTTGTTGTTGCTATTGAACTTTTAGGTAAATAACTTGCCGCTCAATTTTTCAACTTCAAATTGTAGTAGACATTGCACTGTGTTATTTATTGACAATAAAGAACAATAAGTGGCAAATCTTGACAACCTACTCTTTGATCATAAGATTATGTAAGGCAAATACAATTACCAAGAGAAGAAGCAATTCAGTTTTCAAAGCCATAATAATGAAAGTGGCAGATATGAGCAATCATTTTTTGACATACAAAACTACTACTCACTCTCTTTAAAACAGTACTGTAGGTCACATATTACAGTGAACAGTTGGCTTTAGTTTGAGCACGCAAAGGTTTGTCTTTGTAGGTTATAATTAATAGCTGTAAAGTGTTACATATATGGCTGGTATTATTAGATTTGTTTTTCTGCTTTCTATTACCCAAATTAGGAACTTTGGTAAATTTCAGAGAAAATAAAACATGCGCCTCACCTATATTTGCAAATGAAATAATAGGAGTAACTGGTTTTGTTAACAAAAAGTCTCAGTTATTATTTTGGCAGGAGGAAAGGACGGACCAGCAGTAAATAAGATTTTTGAAAAGCAGGTAAAAAAACTGAGCTGCTTATGTGCGTAGTACATCATGCATTAAGGGCAGTAGTCAGCAAGTAGGGACCAAATCTTACCTGAACCTGATTTTAGGTTACCTGCTTTATTATCAGCTTTTTTGCTACTGTTGGACTTGGCCAAACTGGACTTGCATTGACGTACACTTCAATTAAAGGACCTTTCTTTCCTCTATTTTTGTTTTTCAAATTGGGAGATGGGGTGATGCCGTACTAGTGGAGGCTGTTTCCACGACTCCAACTCGTGACCTTCTGGTCACATGACAACAACTTTACCAGTTACGTATATAGCTGTCTTTTAAATACTTTTTAAAGGAATGAAATATTGTACTTTTAACAATCAATGTCCAAAATCAAAGTGAAGATGAAGAAGTCTAACTCTCATTCTTTGAATCACATCATTTATTTATATTGAATACAGGAAGTACACATTATCATTACATTTGAAGAGAGGTAACTGCATGAACTACATATCCAAATTGGAGCCCAAAAACTATACAAATAATTTTCTATATGCTCTAATAACAATGATCTTTTTTTCATCTTTCCTTGAACTGAGGGTTTATTGGAAACAATCCCTCTACATTTCATAGGTAGGGGTAAGGTTTGCATACACACTACCTTCCCCAGACCCCACTTATGGGATTACACCGAATTTGTTGTTGTTGTTGCTCTAATAACAATGATACACCTACCTTGAACTTTGACGTAACATCTCTATATATCGAATTCATATGCACGTATCCCTCTACAATATGCAGCAGGCTCTGTAAATTACACAGGCCTCCAGCCAATATGGTGTTTCAAAAACAGCAACTTCCCTACTTCTATACAGCAAAATTGTCGATCATGTGTTGTATAACATCTGCTCCATCAGAATTAAAGCAATAATTCGTTACCTGAAATTGCAGAACAAAGGAAGTTAAAAGACTTGCTACTGTAGATAACCTTCCTGCGAAACGAAGCACAAAAGACAGGACCAAACGAAAAATCTTTGGCCTAAAACGCAGCACTTTTTTAGGTGAAAGACTTCAAGACAAAAGGTGGAGGTTTTTTGCAAGTTCAGAGATAAAATGCAATGGATCTATGTGTGACTTGAGAACTCGATAGTCCTAATGCTTGGGATATACATCTAAAAGCAGGACGCTTGATGTACTATACTTTCCGTAAAGACTGATATTTTCTTTCTTTGACCCCCTCCTCTCTTCTCTGTTTCTCGTCATATTAACGTAGAGCTTTGATTTGAAGAACCTCAAGAAAGAAAATCACAAAACTACCAAATTTACTTCTGTTTGTTGAAAACAAATAGTTGATGACCATGATTTCTGTAGATTTCTTTTCGGGATCAGTTAAGACCTTTGGTTCGAATGAAACAAAATGGATAGTGAAGATTCATATGCCCCAACTAGCTCGGGATTGACACATAATTTGTTGTATTGTCCTTGACAGATTATAGCCCTAGTTACCCGTTTAAATCTAATTTTCCGTTCTCTGTCACCTTTATTATTGTCTAACATTACTATAGTATGCTTTAACAATCCATCTATCAGCCCATGCAAATTTATGATCATATCTTGATTTATACCAAAATATGACAGAAAGGTGGATTTTTTATGAGCTTTCCAGGGAAAAAAGAAAAGAAGCAAAAGCATCAAGATAAATAAGTGAATGCAAACACGTAAACATGAAACAAAAATCCCTGAGTAAATAGGTATGAAAAATGAATTTGCCTAGGTCATAAGAGAATGGTATATGGTGAAATGCATGATGATTTATCATGAAGAAACATCGTAAGTAGAAACTCCTCATAGTATGTTCAAGACAGAACAAATACGTGCCTGAATTGTTGTGTGTGCAAAGTATCTTTGTTTACTTCCTTTGAAGCTAACATCAACTCGTTCCCAACTTAACTTTGTTAAACCTCTGATCATAGCCTCTGCAGCAGTTAACCATGAAGAAAAGGTAAACAATAGAAAAGGATGATCAAGCTAATCATAAAAACGCTCAAAGCGGAAAAACCATGTGATGTGCATTGAGATTCCCTAGTTACTTAAAGGAAGTGGTAAATTCTACCGTTTATACAGTTGAGACAAGTAGCTTAAGTCCGAAGGTGGGATTATATGTAAAATACTGGAATTAGTGTGTGAAGTAGTCCCATGCTCTCTTTTCATTTAGCTGGCACTAGTTTGATGCGTTTGAGTTTAGACTTTCTTACAAAAGCACTAGAAGACCATATACATCGCAAGATGCAACTAATATGCAGAATCAATGGCCATATACCCCCCATGTTAGGATAATGAAGGTATGAGTTTCCGAAAGTGAAGGCTAACATACTTAAAATTGCTCCTCAATATCATAAAAAGAAGAAAAAAGACACTGACCTTCCATTTCGTTAGACTTGCGTCCATTTATTTTGGCCTCAGTAGGTGTTTCTTCTTGATTACTAACACTTGTTGCCTCATCAACATTTACAATATGTGGGTATTTATCCCCTTTTTTCAAGTTCCGACACTGAAAAGAGAAGTATTAGTTGTGTGATGCAACACTTGTTGCCTCATCTACATTTACAATATGTGGGTATTTATCCCCTTTTTTCAAGTTCCGACACTGAAAAGAGAAGTATTAGTTGTGTGATGCAAGCTTTTGCTACTAAAACTCAAATGTCATATAACTTTACCTTTGAAAGCTCATTTCTGCGCCGCAAAGATGATGTACTCCACCCAACAAGATCTATACAAGTGTCAAGGTTTTTGCATTACGGGAAATTAGCCAACTGATGGGATTAGGGTTTCACTTATCAGCATAAACACTTACCCACTGTTGAATTATCTCATCATGGAATCAAGTCATGGACACCTGATTCTAGATATATAATACACTGAAGATTAAAGAAATAAGAAAGAGAAGAGGAAACGAAGAGTGACGAGGTTCAGGAGGATACAGTCAAAACTTGTATTTGCGTAGGCCACACGACGCTTAAATGACTGCAAAGCAGATCTGCAAGAAGAAGTTAGATATAATACATTTGCTTAAAATTTTGAAGTTAATGATCACTCACATAAATGGCAGATCTTCAGAATCACTGGCCATTCGAAGAAGAAGAGGAGGTTTCCCTTCATCACAATCTTTCAAAAAGAGATGCCTTCCACTTCTTCCAAGTAACCATGAGGAACTCGATGCAACTTTTTCAAGTGTGTATAACCCACAGAATGCTGGAGCCTACAATATTTTTAAGAGACGTTAGAAGTTGGTTGTCCTGCCCCCAGCACCCCACCCACCCCGTTTTGGAAATAAGTAATAAGTATTGACATGCAAGAAGCAGAATGAAACTAAAGCAACATAGTTATTTGGGATGCTTGATGACTCATGCCACTAACTACCATGCACTTATATGATAAGGAAATTTCAAAATGAAACTAGACCAAAATATTCAAAACCATACAAAATTTCAATGAAACTTCAAGAAGCGTAAGTATTGATGCAGCTAAAATGCAATCATGTTCATGTTAGGCGAGTTTGCATAACATTTTTTCCAGATGAGTGACTGTCCACTTAAAGTCAAAGACATTCGTGAGTTGTTTAATCTCAAAAGAATGTCTGAATAAGCAGTATGCATGATAACGAAAATCTTCTTTGAAGTCTACCCTGAGAGAACCTATAATGCATTTTTGGTGGTAAATTTCCTCGTTAGTAGTGTAAGTCAAAGCTCATTTGGAAGAATATCTTTCTCTGCCCCAATTATTGTTTTTCCTCTTCCTTTTCCTTTTAAATTTTTGAGGCTAGGTTGGGGTTGAGCTGCTAAGGACCTGTTATCTAACAGTGTATTTTACTTAAAATTGCAAATTTCTCATAATATCAGAATTTAACAGAAGATCAATAACGTGGATTGAGTAAAAGGCCTCTAGTTACCTGTTTGTGCCCCCTACAACCGAGATGTGGCGTAGCACAGGTTATAAAGTTCATGGGTTCCAGCCCAGCAATTTTTCTTTTCGATACCTCTTCCACACACAAATTAGTGGAACCATTAAGACTACATTCCATCTCTTCTCCACAAGCTCTTCTTGCAGATCCTTGTTCATATAGCTTCGCAATTGCATATCTAGATACCAGGCCACCTAGGGAGTGACAAACAAAAGAAATCTTCTGTAGATGTGGATGCTGCTTTATAACAGATAATACCTGACATTAAGTACAAAAAGCAAAAGTCAGCAAAAATTAAGTTCCAGTAGGTCTTGCTTAGCAAATAAGCAAACTTACATGTTAGACCTGAAGAATAAGAATCAGTTTAGATGTCATCCTAATACAATACCAAAGCCCATATTGTACAACAAATGGAAAAAATCCTTAGCAACTAACAAACAAGGGTAGGTATGTATGTTAGCAAGAGCTAATATTTGGAAGACAAAAGAATTGGTCAATAGCTTCAACTGTACATCTTCAGTAGGCAATGCAGAATTAAGGTCTATATGGGCGGAGAAGTCAATCAAAAACAAGGATCTGAAAGAAGGATAAAGATAATAACTGGACTGAAACAATGGCATAGGTACAATGAAACTCATTGAAGGAAAGAAGAAGAATATTTTTAACCTAGTTTGGTTTCCAATATCATGGTTGTTCTTGACTCCCACAACATAAGTAGGTCAGATAAAATGAGAGTGGCGGAGCGGTTTGTGTTGATGAACAGGAGTTAATTTAAATTGATTCAATACACACCTCTTCAGCTAGTCTTGTCCCCATTATGTCAACACCATCGAATGTCAAGGTCGAACAATTAGAGTCACTGCCTGGAAATAGAATATTAATTAGGAAATAGTTGGAATTAATACAGGAAACATATAGCTCTAACTGACAGATAGATGCATAAAGATTGTGGAAACATGAAATCAACGCAAAATTGGAAGCCATCCTAGTTTTCAGAAACTAATAACCAATAAAATTTTGGAATTGTAATGCCAAAAGCTAAAGTTATCCAATTCTCTCCAAGGACCTCTATATTTACTTTCCTTTGAAGAAACAAAAGGAGTTCTAATACTACCAGTTGATTCTTCATTTAAAAAATATCCAACTNCCACCCAGAGTGGTAAAAATTTTATGCCTTGCCATGATCAAATTTATGTATGATTGTGGGCAAAGAATTGAAAACTCATCCCATTGAATTTGCTTCATTCTCATTCCTTTAAGAGAATGTGATAGCAGTATGTGATAAGTCTGAAAGAAGACAAAATTATTACTATGAATGTATCAATGGATGTGGACGTGACAATATACGGAATTATAATCATCATCATTGTGGTAATGAGAACAATAAGGATTCTCCAAATAATCCTTCACTTTGTGAAAGTAATATTTGTCATTGATTTGACATGAGATTTTGTAAAGTACATATAGATGATTATGGTCCATTCATAATGTGAATGTGACAACATGTGATTTATGAATACATATTCATTCTTGGAAGAATATGAATGTGCTAGTGGTAGTGAATATACCACACTCACCTCTAGAATGAGGCTTGAGGGGAAATAAGAAAATAATGTCATTATTATGACATGAATGTCATTGGTCACATACCTATTGTACGCCAAAATATTTTGGCGATATGATTATTAAAGGGCAACAATAATACAAGGAACAGATCTTGTATACAATTCTGACCATGACCATAGTGATATAACTTTCTCTTTAAACGATATATTCACCATATAGATGTTGATGAATATGTGGTAGTACCAAATTAATTGAGAGCTCTAGAAGAGCCAATTATTACTATTTTGGAGCAATAAAATTGATTATTAATAAGGCATTGTGTTGTAGTAAGTCTCAAAGAAACTTATTAAGTTTATAAAGTATTCACGAAAGCGGTTGGTTATATTGGACTATAAATAAAGGAAAGATTTAATATCTTCTATTACTACAACTTGTAGCGGGGTAATATGTATGTGAAACGCTACCCGCTTTATTTTCCAGTTTGTACTACACAAATAAAAGAATGCCACAATAAAGTAGAAGTTTATTGATATAAAAATCCATATCATAATAAACTTGGAGTTTATTCATAATTGCACACGTCATGGTGTAAACCTGAAGTTTATCTATATTTATAATTTATTCAGTAGGAATAATTGGTTTAACCATATTAATTTAAGTATGATGTGTAAAAATAAAAGAGAATTCACCTGGGTAAATGTTAAAGAACTAGAAAGTTCTTTACGAATTCTCTTATGTTGTTTGTTCTCATTAATTAATAGACCAATTAAAATTAGGATTCAATCCCATGAATACTGAAAATATCAAAGGTGAATATGGGCTTTCCATGTATACCACATAAGATGCATCTATGAGATGGTTACATGTGCGATTATTATTAACCCGCAACCTGGTATTTGCGAGGTAACTTGCTCAATAATTTAATTTAGTGCATAATTTCCAGATTTTCTATTCAAGAAAGTTTATCTTGATAAGTTGATTTATATCACAGTTGGTTTAGCAAAATAATTTATTGAGTGCCTCCACTTAATATCTAAATTGTTACTGATGAGAACAAAGTTATCTATATCAGTTTGGTATAGGTTATATACACAAGTATATTACATTCTCCCATTACGAATGGTTTATGGCCGGGATCCAAATAATTTCATCTTAATATTATTATTGATGTGCGGTGTATATTTTGATTAGCATCATAATGCACAAAGATGAATTTTCAAAATTGAGGAAGCAAGTTAGTTTTTCTAACATGAGGGGAGACATGATAAACAGTTGAAAAAAAGTTACGTGGAATGAATTATCATTTGTACCTCTAGATCCTCGAAGATAATATGAACTTGAAGTTCACAAAAAAGATAATTCATCTGCACTATATTGTTTGCATGCCAAATGCATTTGCTGACCAAGAGAAAGTAACTATATTCCCAACTGTTGTACGCTCCTATTAGAATAATTCTTGATAAAGAAGATGAGCAAATGATTAAACTGATCATAATAAGGAGGCAGGTGATCTAGGAGATCACATGACATAACACTTCATAAAATCTCAGTATAGGTTCAGGTACCTGAAAACCTTTTGTAGTGAAATTTCACTTCCCTTTTTCATAGCTATTATGGAGGAATCGCTGCCCTCACTCAATTCTAATCTCGAAATCTTTACCCGATCAGGAAAACGTCGTTCTTTCCTGTTCGTGCGCTGTTTTTCTTTGCCTTTCAAGATATTGCGTATAAAGAGAAAGATAGCCAGTCCTCTTGGGCGGCTGAGAGTGTTATGTAAAAAGGACCAAGGAGGATCATATCCTAAAGGAGAAGGAAGAGGAGTAGGAGCTAGCTTTAGGGGCGGAATCGAATGATTACGAGATAAACAATGAAACAAAGGAGATCACTTAGACAATTCACTTTGAGTACAGGGAAGTCTGCTGGTAGGATTTTAGCTAAAAATTCGTGTTGGGTCGGATTCGAACGAATCTTTCGATAATCTGTAAGAAACTCTTTATCTATTTTTAGAAAATTAGAAGACAAGAACAAAAGACAAAGAAAGCCTCTCTAAGTACTGACCTTTCTTCCCCCCTTTGGTGAGCTGACCTTCTTGTGTCACGAGTGATGTCAAACCTCCTTCTTGTCTTCTATTTATGAATGAAGAGATCTCTATGTTATGCTTTTATGAAAAATAAGGAGGTTGGAACCGATATAAAATGTTCGTCCACGAAATCTATGATAGCGCTAAATATATATGAGGATCTTAAGTCTAGAGAAACAATTTCGAATAAAATTGGTTTTATATGAAAGACAAGTAGTTTTGAACATGCAGTTCAAAGACTTAAAAGTATAAAGTCAATGGTATGTGCAATCAGTTTTCGATATCTTATTTGTTTAGCATGACATGAAAACTTGATATGCATCTAATTAAAGTCTATTATATGACATATATGACTTAACTTATATGACAATCCTTGAAGGATTTAAATCACTTGAAGCATATACAATTCTTGGTTCTGAAGTACCATATGATAAGTGTAATTTGTGCACATATGTATCTTGCCATAACTATAAGCATGAAAATGTGATAGCGAAATTTTTTACATTTATGGAGATATTGAAAAGGCCATCCCACAACATTTTATGAAGACCTTACATATCTCTCAAGAATGATGATTTGAAGGTGCAACATATTCATTCAAGTTAATATGACTGCTTTGTTTATCAAGTCTCTACAACGATCTTTTGAAGATGATGCACATGATTGGAATGTGAAGGTTCAAAGATGTGAATTAATACTCTCATCAGGGGGAGTTAATACGTATTGTACTATTTTTTCCTTATAAGGTTTTGTCCCACTGGGTTTTCCTTGCAAGGGTTTTAACGAGGCACCCAGAAAGCGTATTGTTAGATATGTGTACTCTTTTTCCTTTACTAGAATTTTTTCCCACTAGGTTTTATTAATTAAGGTTTTAACGAGGCATATTATCTGTTGAATAGATACTCAAGGGGGAGTGTTATAAATAGCATTTTATTTAAGATGAATGTCTATATTTTAGAGAGATTTTAGGGATTTTACTTGGTGGCTAAGTCATTCTTTCTCTATAAATAGAGAGTTCATATTCCATTGTAATTCATCATAAATCAATAAGAATTCTCTCTCTACTTTCTCTGTAATACTCTTCTTCTTCTTTTATTGTTTTATAACAAAACTAATATATTTTTGATTAGTAAATCAAATGAAATGTGTTACAATTTTGAACTCGAGCTCGTAATTTTTAAATATTAAATTCGTCTATATGTTCTTGTAGCGTAAGATAGCTAAATTACAATAAATCTCCGATAGTGATGTCTCTAATTTTAGAGCAGAGACCAAATTAATAGAACGGAATATAAAAGATCCATGTATCTTGCTCACCTATTGAGGGTGTAAACATGACGTATCGTTATAATAATTACTTTTTAAGAAAACAATAGTAGTTGTAATTTGTAACAAGAAGTTCCTTGTTCCTTGCCATCAAATAATAAGTAGCGGAACCAATCTTTCCCATAAAAATATTCAAAAAAATAAAAACAAATATGTGATGAGCTAACGGAATTCAATNAATAATAGGTTAAGTTCACGTCGATGAAATTGTTGGTATTACTGTGTTCAAAATCAAAAAATTATAGAAGCAAACAAACGTTAGTTCAATAAACAAATCGTAAAATAATTCCGAGCCTACTGAATGCACAATATGTCCTTAAGGAATTTAATTCCCTCACTGTTGTCCAAGGTATATGGATTAATTCCTCCCAGGATAAAACGGAATAACTATTCTGTGATAGCGGCACTTCAAATTACAGAACTTCAGCGAACTCAACAAACGGAGAAAATCACACTTGACACTTATGTTTATTTAGAAAATAATGCAATAATATAGAAAAGAGGGGAGGAGATTTCAGATTTTCCATATATGATTTTATGTCTGAAAAATGAGGCCAAGCCTCTAAATTTATAGACAAAGGAAGGGTGATATGGAGAGGTGAAATCTAAAAGGTGCCTCTTCCAATTCCCATTCACACCCCTTAATAAAAACGCAACAATCCCCCACATGAATGGGGAATGGACATATGTGAAAAACATGCATGAAAATACTGTGTGATTCACAAGTAAAGATTAATCACATCTGGATAAGTAAGTTTCCCTTTGAACTTTCCGTAGTGAACTTATATCGGGTATACTCGGTCAATCGGTAGATTTGATATCTTTGAACCGTCGAGCTTTGGTATATACCTAGACAACCATAAGTCACACAATCAATCCTTAACCGTCTTTGGT